TGCTGACTTTGCCTTTGCTATGGGGATCTGGGTTGGGGTCCTGTGGCTCACGTGAGAATAGAGGATCATGGGGTAGTTCCTGGCACCCTCCCCCAAAGGAGGCTCACACAGGCCAGGACCGCCCCGTCTGGCTGCCCCATCCCCGCCCCCGACATGCCCTTTGCCTTCTCCTCTGTGAACCACAAAACACATTGACGGGGTGCCTGGTGCCCCCCTCAGTCAGGGCTCATGGGGGAGGCCCTTCTTTAACGTCTCTTACTGGGCACACCCGGAGGCCACATGTTCCAGGGTCAGAGAGACCAGGAGAAATCCCAGCTTCTTCACTCATGGCTGTGCATCTTCAAGAAGGTGACTGTGCCTCTCTGAACCTCAGCCTCCTCTATCTGACAGCACAAGGGTCTGCAAGTCTCTAGGGGCCATGTGAGCTCCATGGGGACCTCTCATCTCTGCTGTGAAAGCAGCTAGGGGAAGTGCACGTGAGCTGTGTGGCCTCATACCCACCAAGACCCTGGGGGTCACACCAGGCAGCACTGAGAAGCAGAGCAGAGGCTGCCGCGGTGACCAGGGTTGCTGCTGAGACGCAGGGCAGAGGCCGCCATGGTGACCAGGGTTGCTGCTGAGACGCAGGGCAGAGGCCGCCATGGTGACCAGGGTTGCTGCTGAGACGCAGGGCAGAGGCTGCCATGGTGACCACGGTTGCTGGTGAGACACAGGGCAGAGGCCACTGCAGTGACCAGGGTTGCTGCTGAGACACAAGGCAGAGGCCGCCACGGTGACCAGGGTTGCTAGCGAGACGCAGGGCAGAGGCCGCCACGGTGACCAGGGTTGCTGCCTGCCTGCCACACACCCCACTTGGGCCTCTGGCTGTCTCCTCTCCTGCAGAAACCCCATGGGCAGGTGTGCAGCCAGCGCGGAGGGAAGACGTGTGTGCCAGCAGAGAGAGCACGAGGCCTGGAGTTCTCATCTGTGCCACCAGAAGCAGGGGACAGTGAAACGTCATCTACAATCACCAGGGAGACGGCTGCATCCCAGGCATCCCACACCAGCCCAGAAATGTCACCAGTAAGCGCAACAGCAGACACTAGAAGATATGTCATCCCTATGCATTATCCAGAGAAAGTACTGGAAGGAAGCCAGCCACTGCCCATGAGTCGGAGCAGAGGACACCCCCCTGACATCAAGGTGAGGCCAAGGGGAGAGGAAGCGGGGCTGAGTGGGGCCTGTGACGTCAGCACGTGCGGTGGGCACACCGGGGAGGGGGGGACGATGACCGAGATAGAGGACATAAACCTCCATCAGCCAAACAACATGGGAGCTAAACTCGGAAAGCCAACTGGAAGGGGACGCGATGAAGGGACTTGAGGGTCACAGGAGCTCCCTCCATGTCTCTCTCTCCATAATTAGGTCTAGTGGCGACAGAAAAATGCAGACAGATCGATATGGATGGTCATGCTCACGTTCCTCACAGGAAACGGTGCTTCTGAACGTTCCTCACAGGAAACAGAGCTTCTAAACATTCCAGCTTCCGATAAGTCCATGTCTGTTGTGTACTGGCTGCAAAGAAAACCTCAAGGAACTAAAAAGTAGAATAATTTAAATGATCCTATTATCCAAATATTGTAAAATAAATAACAGAAAGTGCCACCTCTTCCCCCCAAAACTTAGAAACCAACACACTCCCAGGTAGCCCTTGGGTAAAACAGGATATTAAATCTGAATGTGCGCTCTCTGAAAAGCCAAGAAACCATAAATATTGATCCAGCGCTGAGGACTCAGCTAATGCAGCGTCCAGAGCCCCCAGCACAGCTCTTGTTTTTTAGAGGAAAAAATAAACGGGAGGGACTTTGTGCCATCCTAAGAAACGAAAATGAGAACAAGAAAGTGTATTTTAAAAAGTAGGGAGAATTATGAAGATAAAGCCAGAAATTAATGAAGTAGAAAACAAATAAGTAAAGAGGAGAAATGATTGTTTTTCTGAAATAAATAAAATAAAATCCCCTTGCCCAGCCCAAAAGCTGCATCAAGAAATGACTGCCTAGGCTGGGCACGGTGGCTCACGCCTATAATGCCCACACTTTGGGAAGCAGAGGTGGGCGGATCGCTTGAGGCCTGGAGTTTGAGACCATCCTGGCCAATACAGTGAAACCCTGTATTTGCAAAAATACACAAACTAGCCGGGCGTGGTGGTGTGCGCCTATAGTCCCAGCTACTCGGGAGGCTAAGGCAGAACAATTGCTTGAATCTGGGAGGCAGAGGCTGCAATGAACTGACATCGTGACCCTGCACTCCAGCCTGGGTGATAAAGTGAGACTCTGTTTCCAAAAGAAAAAAAAAAACCACAAAAACGAAAACTAAATAAATAAGTGACTATATTTAGAATTTATGTACATTGAAATAGAAAAACCCACACACGATTAGGAAGAAGGAGACCCCAGTATGGAAGAGGCTGGAGAAATGATGAGACAGCCCACTCGGCCGGGGCAGCTGCTTGGAAACCTGCAGCAGCAGACCATGTTGTCCTGGGTGTAAAGTCCAGAATGACTCTGGACAAGCGGCACCACGCGGAGATGAGCACAAGGAGCTGGAGAGGGCGACAGCTGAGCCAGGAAAGGAGGCTCCAGGAGCAGATGTCCGCAGCTGACGATGACCTCACCTTCCATGGAAAGAAAGTCATCCCAGGGTTACTTTAACCTTCCCAAGACATGAAAGGATGGAAAACTCTGTAATTCATCTCATGAAACCAGGATAATTTAATTCAAAAACCTGATGTGGAACAAAAAGAGAAAACCATAGACAAATATCACTTTCAGAAGATGCAAAAAAATCTAACAGAATAGCAAATAGGACTCAACACCGCGTCAGCGGATTCTACACAGGAGAACAGCAATTAGGACCCAACGCAGCTTCCATGGCATCATGTATGGCCAAGCAGATGAAGGCCAGGCTTACGAGGGCAGCCCAGCAATCAGAGACATCATTTCATTAGCCAATTAGCACAGAAAATTCAGAGAACCCCATCGACAGGTACTGAAAAGAAAATTAACCAAATTCAGCAATCATTATGAATAAAAGCTCTATTTCTAGTAAAATAGAAAAAAGTGCAAAAGTCTGTGTCCACAATGGCCAAGATCGTTGTATGTGGAAACACAAATGTCACAAATCCAGGGTCGACTCGTGGGGCCTGCTGCTGTAACAATTGTCCAGCATTTTCTAGGAGGTTCCAGCAAACTTAATAAGAAAACCAAATAAATGGCACAAACATCAGAAAAAATAAGACAATTTATTTTGTTGATGATATGATTGTAAACCTAGTTATGCCTCTGCCCCCTCATTTAAAAATTAAAAATCAGGCCAGGTGCGGTGACTCACGCCTGTAATCCCAACACTTTGGGAGGCCAAGGTGGGCGGATCACCTGAGGTCAGGAGTTCGAGACCAGCCTGACCAACATAGTGAAACCCTGTCTCTACTAAAAACACAAAATTAGCTGGGCATGGTGGTGCATGCCTGTAATCCCAGCTACTTGGGGGGCTGAGGCACGAGAATCGCTTGAACCCATGGGTGGAGGTTGCAGTGAGCCAAAATCGCACCACTGCACTGCAGCCTAGGCCAGAAGAGTGAAACTCCATCTTAAAAAAAATTAAAATTAAAAATCAGTAAAAAACATTTAATACAAGATGAATATACAAAAATTAGTAACTTCTCACTCCTCTAGCAATAATCACTTGGGAATTAAAGAAAAAAAAAGAGCCAAAATATTCCATTTGCCATGGCAACTGAGTAGTTGGGGTGAAGGTTAGGATGCTGTAAGGAGCAGCTCCTGGCATGGGGAACTCGATGGAGGCATCACTTCTCTCTCACATGGTGGCTGAGAACAGCTGGGTGGGCTGCTCTGTCACCACACATGGGGTCCCCCAATCATGCTTCTCCTCTAGCCTTCCAGGCATCTTTCCTGGCTGCAAGGTTCCAGTGGGTGCAGAAATGCCCACGTCCAGCTGGCAGGAGGGGCCTGGGCAGGGGCAGGAGGGTAGAGGCCATGTTTTCCAAGACCACATGTGAGACATGGCCCATGTTGCCACGTGCGTTCCGTGGTTAGCCCTTGGTCAGGGCCTGGCCTGGCTGGAAGATGGGCTTGCTGCGGCAGGGACAGGCAACGCCATCGCAGGAGAAGGGGCCGGAGCTGGCAGGAACAGTGTCTCCAGGTGACAAAAGCCTCCGACAATTTTGCGAGAAAGGTGGGGGTGGGTGTGAGAGGACGCAGGGCCCCCACCGCTCAAGCAAGGAGAGCAGGGAGCAGAGCCACGGCGAAGGCCCAGCCGGGAGCCTCTCCTGCCAACCTGAAGCCCAGCCTCCAGGTTCCATGAAATCACCTCCAGTTATCCCAGGAGAAAGGTGCATGGCCTAGGAAAGAAAAAACAGGCAGCTCGGACCCAGGCTCCAATCCCGGCCACCAGTTACCAGACAGGGGCAGCCACATCGCATCTGTGTGCCTCAGTTTCTACATCTGCGGCTGCAGTGATGGTTGTGCCCGCCCAGTAGGGCTGCTGTGAGTTAAGGGGTGAGAGACAGAGACGCTTCCCTGTCCACTGTCTCCAACACGTTCTTCCTGGTCACCCCTCACTGAACACCCCAGGGACCAGGCAGGCGCCATGGACAGTTGAGAAGGCATCCAGCCTGCAGAACGGAGTCCAGGACCCAGAGAAGCTTCAGGGGTGAGCAGGGTGGGTCGGGGCCGGGGCGTAAATGACAGGGGGAGCACGCGGAGGGAGGAGGGAGCTTCAGGACAGGAGGTGCAGGCTGAGTGAGGATGGCTGAGTGGCCCTTGTGTCAGAGCAGGGGAGGCTCAGCGGAGGCAGGGGCAGGCTTGGCCTCTGCACTTCTGCCTCCAGGATGTTATGGATTTGGCAGGGAACGCGTAAACCATGAGCTCACCCCGCGGGAACGTGGTTTCCTCTGGCTGCCCCCACAACAGCTGTTCCCCATCAGCACCGGCCCCATCTCCCTAGCAGGAAGCCGGGCAGCCACTGCAGGCCAGGTGTGGACGCCCCTCACACCCTCCCATCTGTGCAGACGTCACTGGACAGGGTGGTAAGGGGGAGGGGAGCAGCGAGGAGAGGGTGGGGTGTGGCCCCCCGTCTCTGGTCCCCTCTGGTCCTTTGCTGTGACCATGTGGAGGAAGCCAGCTCCCGGAGGTAGGGCCAAGCCTTCAGGGTCCTCAGTGCCACCAACCAGGCCTGACCCCGACTGCTGACTGAGCCCCACGTGGTTCCTCTGCCCTGGACATGCACACCCGGGTGCCCTCCTGGCTCTGCTGCAGCAGACCTGTGTGCCAGGGCCTTCTAGACGGTTTTGGCCCCTCCTGTGTGGACTATTCCCACCATACCTGGTCTGGGCTGAGGCTTCCTGGCCCTTCCCCTCTCACCCTGACGAGCTTGGCCTGGGGGGCCCATGAATGTGCCCTGCCCACGTGGCCCTCTGCGGTCACCCACAGCCAGCAGGACCCAGATTCCTTGCAGGCCAAATGCAGGTGCCCCAGCTCCTCCAGCCCCTCCCCCCACAGTATGTGGCCAGTGACAAAGGGGATGAATTTGGCCCTGTGCCATGCTGGGCCACATGCCTGCCCTGCCCGCCCTGAGTGTCCCGGTTGTGAGTCCCCAGCCCACTGGCTTCAGGCACTGCCAAGCCCCTTGCTCTCTTCCCTGAAGAGGGTGTGGATTTCTCCAGGCCAGGCCTGTGGTCAGCAATGCAGGCAGGTGTTTGTGACCAGGGCATCTGTGCTATCAGACACAGGAATAGCCCCCAAACCACGCAGGGAGGGAGGAGGCCCTGAGAGAGAAGGTGCAGTTACACACATGTGACCACAGAGAAGGCTGCCTTCACCCC